TTATATGCCAAGTTCTCCAAATGTGAGTTCTGGCTGAGTTCAGTAGCATTTCTGGGTCACGTTGTATCAGCGGAAGGTATTCAGGTGGACCCGAAGAAGATTGAGGCAGTCAAGAACTGGCCTAGACCAGCATCAGCCACAGAGATTCGGAGTTTCTTAGGGTTGGCAGGCTATTACAGACGGTTCGTGGAGGGATTTTCATCTATTGCAGCCCCGATGACCAGATTGACCCAGAAGGGTGCCCAGTTCAGATGGTTGGATGAGTGTGAGGCGAGCTTTCAGAAGCTCAAGACAGCTCTGACTACGGCACCGGTGTTGGTTTTGCCCACAGGATCAGGGCCTTATACAGTTTTGTGACGACCCGGCCCGTCGTCACGTGAGTTACTACCCCATTTCCCCCATCTTATGTTTCTCTATGCTTCATTGTCGGTATTTGATGTGATCGAGTTGATTTGGATTGGTTTTGGTAGGAAATGAGACACTTAGTCTCTTTAAGGAAGGCTTGTTTTGAAAAAGTCAACCGGATGTTGACCTATGAGTTAGAGGGCTAGGATGTGATTTCTGATGATTTGGTTAGCTTCGAGGGATGAATTGTGACTTAGGAGTGTGATCGGAATTGATATTGGAGGTCCGGTGTAGAATTAGGCTTGAATTGGCGAAGTTAGTATTTTGGCGAATTCCGGTTGATAGGTGAGATTTTGATCCGAGGGTCGGAATGGGATTCCGAGAGTTGCTGTAGCTTTCTTAGGTGATTTTGGATGTGTGTGCAAAATTTCAGATCATTCGGAGGTGTTTTGGTCGGGTTTTCGATCAAATGCGTAATTCGGAAGTTTTAGAAGAACTTAGGCTTGAATCCGATGTAATTTGATGGTTTTGGTGTTAATTGTGGTGTTTTGATGATTGGAGCAAGTTTGACTGATGTTTTAGGATGGATTGGCACTTTTGGTTGAGGTCCCGGGGGCCTCGGGGTGATTTCGGATGGTCATCGGGATGATTTTAGACTTGGTGAAATTGCTGGTTCTGCTGGTATCTGGTGTTTCCGCTTCTGCGGAAGAAGGGCCGCATATGCGGTTCCGCAGATGCGAGGGATTGGACGCAGGTGCGAGTCTTGAGGAGGTTTGCTGTTTCCGCAGGTGCGGGCTTCGAGCCGCATCTGCGGTGACGCAGATGCGGTAGGGTGATCGCAGAAGCGGGAGTTGAGGGAATGGCATTTTCCGCAGAAGCGGACATGGAGCGCAGATGCGGTGTCCGCAAATGCGGATACCTGACCGCAGAAGCGGTCCTGGGCGAGTTTGGGAGTTCCGCAGAAGCAGATGAAAACCGCAGAAGCGGTAGTCGCAGATGCGGTAAAGGAACCGCAGATGCGAAAATCACTGTTATCAGAAGGGTTTTAAAACTCATTTTTTGTTCCGCGAGCTTAAGTCCATTTCCACCATTTTTAAGAAACTTTGAGAGCTCCTGGACGGAATTTGAAGGGGATTTCGACTAGGTGTGATTGGAGGTGAGTTTCTTGACCTAAATACATGAATTGATGGTAGAATTTACATTGAAATTTATGGAAATTCTTCAAAAGAGGGTAAAGCTAGGGCTTGGGAATTTGGTATTTCAAAGTGGAATTTGAGGGGCCAAATGGACTCCGATTTTGGTAATTTTGATATGTATAGACTCGTGGCGAGATAAGGAATCCGATGATGTCAATTTTCTGATTTTTCGAGAAGTGGGCCCGGGGCTCGGGTTTTGCCAACTTCGTGAATTTCGATGTTTTTCGAGTCTTTTCGATTGGGTTATATTTCCTTAGCCTATTGTAATGTATTCGTTGTGGTTTTGGCCAGATTCAACGCGCGAGGAGGTTGATTTGCGAGGCAAGGGCATAGCGAGCTAGGATTTTGGCCGGCTTGAGGTGAGTAATGATAGTAAATGATATCCTGAGGGTTTGAAACCCCGGATTTGCACAACGTAGTGCTATATTGAGGTGAAACACGCGCTTAATGGCGAGCGCAGGGTTGTTTACTACTGGGGATTGTGACTTGGTCCGCCCCGTTTGATATTTTACCGCGTATTTGACTAAGTTGATTTGATTATCATCATGATTTGGGCTTATTGCCATGTTTTGGGCTTAATGCCGATTATTTGAATCCTTCGGGGATTGCTATCACTATTTCCTCACTATTTTGACACGTTATTTGAACTCAGTCCTAATGAACATACTGTTTTGCAAACTCAGCCGTTTTAATTGAATTTTGAGACTTTACTGATATTTCACTGTTGTCTGGGCTGAGAACTATTATTTATTTATGCCCGAGGGGCTTATGATATTTTTTGGACTGAGTGAGGCTTTCAGGCCTGGAGCGTGATGTGAGGAGGCTTTCAGGCCTCGAGTGTATTGTGAGGAGGCTTTCAGGCCTCGAGTGATATGTGAGGAGGCTTTCAGGCCTCTAGTGTGATGTCTGAAGGCTTTCAGGCCTTGATTTATATGCCACGAGGTGGCTTGATATTGCGCTTGGGCTGTAAGGGGCCCCTCTCGGAGTCGGTACACCCCAGTGAGCGCGGGTACCCATGTGATGTGATACTGAGCCCGAGGGCTGATACTATCTGAGCGATTGATCGTGGGCCCGAAGGGGCAGTATTTCGTACTTACAACTTACGTTGTTGTTTTACCGTGTATTTACGTGGTATTTTACGTTTAAAAAGGGGGTACTTTTCATTTTTATCTTGTACTGTTCTACNCAAAAAAAAAAAAAAAAAAAAAACAACATGGAACACATGTAAAACAACTAATATGTATTTTTTATACGAGATTCGATAAAAACTAAATCGGAATACCTCGATTTATGTTTTTTGGAAAGTTGAAGAAATGAAGATTTTAGTCTGAAACGAGCAACCACAACGAGAGAAGGCCTTAGCTACGATGTGGGACCAATACTCTTTTTTTTTATGGGACGGGTACGATCCACTCGTGTTTTTTATCTCGTTAATGGGGGGGGGGAGGGGGGGACCGTTGGTTCGAATTTTAAAGGGGGGGGGGGAATGATTCTGGTTTGAACGTGGGGGAAGGGAAGGGGACGGATATTTGAAGATGAAAAGCCTAGTTTCTTAAAGCATTTTATATATAGCGCTTTATCAAACCACGTTTTAGATGAACGTCTAATCAGCTTCAGGTAAAGCGTGTTCCGAAAATGCGGTTTTAAAACGTTCTTTACCTTAACGTCCAAAGCTGACGTTAAAGTAAAGCGCGCTTTAAAACTGCGTTTTATATAGTTTGGTCACTAAGTTTTTTCCACTTATTTCGGTCTTTTGAGTCCAAAAAGACCACATTTAGGTTCCGGTGTGTGGGAAATTTACATTTTATGATGGTGGTGAGCCTGCATTGGTTGGTGCAGGTGAAGAAGGTAGAGGACCAGGAGAAAAACTGGCAGAGGAAGGTGACACTATATTGGATGTACTGCCCACATTCCTTTGATAACTCATAGTACCTTCTGAAGATGATGCTGTATTAGTATCAATCATGGGACTAATAAGAGGTGGATGAAGAGTTGAAGGGAGAAAAGGAGGATTCAGAACTAATATTGAAGGGGAAAATAGACTCATGAAACACTACATCCCTGGAAATGTGGATTTTCTTGGTGGCTAAATTCAGCACTTTGTAGCCTTTTTGTGCCAAAAGGGTAGCGTATAAAAATATGTGGTGTTGTCCTTGGCTCAAAATTATCTCTATGGACTTTTGGTATTGTTGGGAAACATAGGCATCCAAAACTTCTTAACTGAGAGTATTCTGGCTTTCTATTATATAAGACTTCAAAAGGAGACTTGTTCTTGAGATAAGTGGTAGGTAATCTATTTATAATGTAAGTGGCAGTTAGGATACATTCCCCCCAGTACTTTAAAGGCAATTTGGACTGAAACAATAAGGCTCTCGCTGTTTCAAAAAGGTATTTGTGCTTCCTTTCCACCACTCCATTTTGTTGTGGTGTACAGAGGCAAGTCTTTTGGTGAACAATCCCCTTTGATTGTAAAAATAGAGTACCTTCAGTATTAAAAAATTCCAGTCCATTATCATATCTCAAGGACTTGATGGAGGTTTTGAATTGGTTTTCAACTAAGGAAACAAAAGCTTTGATAGTTTGGAGGGCATTGCTCTTACATGTTAGCAGGTGAGTCCAAGTGGACCTGCTAAAGTCATCACCATAGTAATGAAGTATTTTTACTTGTCATGTGTACATTCATGGTAAGGACCCCAAAAATCCACATGCAATAGTTCAAAGATTTTATTTGAAGTACTAACTCTTTGAGGAAAGGGGAGCTTGGCTTGTCTAGCCATAGGGAAAACGGAGCAAACAAAGGGTTGCTTAAGGGAAAAAGAAGCTGGTATGGAGAATATTCCCCTCATTTTTACAAAGGGAACATGTACTAGCCTGTTGTGCCATAGAAGATTAACATTATTGACTTGAAACATACAGGAATTGAAACCAGAATAATTACTCTTATTATTCAAGGATGGATGAACATTGATGGCTCTACAAATGACTCAAGGGTGACCTATTTACAGATGGAGATGAATGAGAATGCAGGTTATTCACAAAAGGACTATTTACATCACAAGAATGAGTAGAAGAACAAACGGCAAAGTTGTCGAGTTGTTGGCCAGGATAATGTTTCTCAGACATTGAGAGCACAACATGTATAGTCCATCCTTGACTTTACCAATCTCCAGAGGCCTCTTCAGTGAAGGGGCCTACCTATAGAAGGCAAGTATTGTCAGTGAAAGAAGTCATACCCCTTAGGTGTTTGCTCAACCAATATACAGAAATAAGATTGAATTTGAATGAGGGAATATGAAGTACTTTATACAGAATGATCTTAGGTGCAAGTTTTACATTTCCAATTTTTGTCACCTTCACTTTATAGCCATTTGGTAAAACGACTAATAAGGAGTAAGGTAAAAATTTTGATGTCAGACAATAAGGATTTGTTAAAGGTCATATGGTTTGAGGCTCTTGAATCTAGTGTCCATGTGTCAATCTTTGATTTAAAGCATCTACATAAGAGTTTACCAAAATCAATAGAAGATGTGCAAACAACAATACTGCAAAGTTTACAACATTGGTAGGACTTGAGTTTCTTGAGTTCTCTCCATCATTGCCAAGCTGAAAGTGTTGAAGTAGAATAACAAGTTGTCCATACTTCTCCTTAGTCAGATTCACATTCTGATTCTCATCTTGGGCATCACACTCATCAAGCTTGCTTGTCATTGCATAAGTTGACATTCCTTGTACATTTGCTACCATCCTCTTCCCTCTATTGTGTCTGAGGTTTTGATGGACATTTTGAGGGTATCGTGCAGTTTGATTGGAATTCTGTCCATTTTTGGATAACAGTGTAGTTTATAACACTTATCCCTAGTATGGCCTGACCTCTTACAAGAATCACACATAGGACGACCTCTGTTATTCCCAGAATAGTTGTAACTTGGTGAGAAATTTGTTCTAAAAAGACTTAGTCTTGAATTGCTGACATTCAAAGAGGTGGATTCAATCGACAACTGATTATTTGGCTTGATCTCCCTTTGCTTTTCATCCTGGATAAGTAAGGAGAAGTCTTGAGCCAACGTAGGCAGTGGATTCATCATAAGAATACTCCCTCGAACTATAGTGTACACTTCATTGAGTCCTATGAGGAATTGTATCAATCTCCTATCTTGTTTAGCTTTGTACATGCTTTGCTTTGCACCACAATTACAAAGGCAACTACATTGAGTCCTCTTATTCAGAGTATTCAGCTCTTCCCATAGCTTTTTCAGCTTAGTATAATCGCCAGTGATGTCAAGGGCTCCTTGAGAGAGACCATTGATTTCTTTTTTAATTTGATACAATCTAGCTCCATTGTTTTGTACATAGCAATCCTCCAGCTCCTTAAACAACTCAATAGCATCACTAGCATATTCCACACTATCCGCAATTTTTTTGGAAAGAGAATTCAGAATCCATGAAGTTACCATGTTATCACATCGTACCCACTGCTGATAGGCTGGAGATTAGGAATTTGGTTGCTTGCATTCACCACTCACAAAACCTAATTTGTTCTTTACGGATAGGCCACGAAGAACACTACGTCTCCAGGATCTATACCCTATCCCATCGAATGGAACAGATACAAGCATCACACCAGGATTGTCGGATGGATGCAAACACACAGAGGATCACTTGGATTGATTCCCGTGCTCTGAGGCACGACGACACTCGTACTAGAATTAGTCGCATCTTGTTGGTCGGTAATAGCCATTAGAACGTATAATTAGTTAATTATTGATAGGGAAAAACAATCGAAATCAAAACCTTTAGAGTTCTATGCGCTAGATTACTGATGTACGAAGAACTGATCGAATTGGGGTAAATCGATCAAATTAGGTCAAAAATCAGAAAAGAGAAAAGAGAAAAGAGGATTAGGAAATGAGTGAGAAGAGACACGAAGGATTAACCTTGCTCTGATACCATGACAAAATTGTAACTGAGATTAGTTTGGTGGAGCTCAATCTCAGCTCCAATGGATGATTCTGGAAGCTTCTGGAGAGTTCCTGTGAGACAGAGGAAGAAAACGAAAGTAGAGGAAAAATGCTTTGATGAAATGAAGCTCAAATCTATTGAATATATGTACAATAACATGTATACACTTTGACAACTGTACACTTTGATCACTAACTGCTACCAATTGATGGATATAAATTATTCATGTAATTTCATATGTAAAAAAATAAGTTTTTAAAATAAAATATAAATAATAATATCCTATCCTCGTATATTTTCTAACAAATATTGTAGGAAAAAGAAATTATGAAAAAGAAGGAAAGAAGCTAAAAGACAAGAGAATGAAGCAAAGCCATAGTTGCACACGTCATCTTCATATTCGCAAATGTGGAATATACATATGGGCTTATGGAAAGAGATAATTAGAGATGAAAAAGAGTATAGTTGCATATGTGGAATCTATATACGCAAAGGTCACATTCGCATACATGGAACCTACATTTTGCAAGTCTAAGTCATGAAAGAATGGAAGCAAAAGCATCATAGATGCATGCGTGGAATCTATATTTGCAAAGGTCACATTCGCATACATGAACCTACATTTGCAAGACTAACTCATGAAGTCAAGAGTGAAACACAAGTGCCATAGTTGCATATATTGAATCTACCTACACAAAGGTCACTTCGCATACATGGAAGCTACATTTGCAAGACCAACTCATGAAGTCAAGAGTGAAGCACAAGTGCCATAGTTGCATATATAGAATCTACGTACACAAAGGTCACTTTGCATACATGGATTTCACATTCGCAAAAGTGGAACATGACAAAAGCTACTCATCTTTTCCTATAAATAACAAGCTCTCTTTGTATAAGCAAATTCAATCTTTGTTAGACAAGAACTAGTCTTGGTTTTTCTTTCTTTTCTTTCCTAATAGTAAAAATATTTCTAGTCTTCTAAATATCTTTTTTTGCTTTTCTTACTCCATAATGGAGTATTTTTTTTTTGTTGCGATAGTTGATGAAACTTGATATATTTTATAATATTATGTTAGTTTTTATATATTCTTGGCTTGAAACTTTTTATTTACATTTCATACCGTGCTGAAATGATGGTTTTAATTACTCTATCATCACATCTATATATTTTATCTCTAAGTTATTCATATATTAATTTTATAATTCTCGCGGAGCAAAATTAATATATAATAACTGATGAATAAAATAGTAGTGTGACAGTAATTTTTCAGTAAATTATTATTTCTAGTCAGTAATCTTATTTGCCTCAGTTTTAATTCGCACGGAGAAACTGTTGTAGGCAAGATTATTCATCCTTGGTAAAAATATTCCCACGAAGTTTTTACTTTCTTTTAGCACAAATCAATCAAGAAAAATATTTTGGTTTAAACGTCACTAGTCTTAAATTGATTAATTAACATAATTCTCATGGAGTATTATTAATTAGTTATTTCTTAGTGAACAAAATATATAATTGTTTAAGAAATAAGCAATTATTCTTTAGAAAAATAAATGTAGAAATTGATATTTTATTATAGTAATATTATCAAGTGAATTCAATGATTCCCAACTCTTTTTTTTATTATAAATTTTCCAAAAGTTATTTGTTTTGTTTAAGTAACTAACAAGTTTTAAACCTCACTCACTTTTCATCAATTTGATTCTCTCAAATAGTAGTTAAAATATTACAAGTCTGTACCATAGATTATCCAGTCTCCGTGGGACGATATCTTAAGCTATATTAGAATTTGACAGAGTACGAGCAGGAAATTCCAATACACATTGGCCTCGTCAAATTTTTGGCGCCGTTGCCGGGGATTGGCATACATCTACTTCAGATAAATATTTTGTTACTAATTTGAGAATTTATTTATTTATTTATTTATTATTATTATTATTATTGTTGTTGTTGTTGTTGTTGTTGTTGTTGTTAGTATTTTCACTATCTACTAATAAGTACTTCTTCCTACTACTTCTATCATCAACTTTCCTTTAGTATATTTAGTATAATAATGTAACGACCCGACCGGTCGTTTTGAGCTTTTGCACTTCGCTCACCAGTTCTCGGGCATGACTAGATCCGTGTGATGTATAATGACTTATATAAATCGTTGGTTTTGGTTTTCAGGGTAATCAAAATGGATTTGGAAGAATCAGTTCTCAGTTTGAAGCTTTAATATTTGGAAGGTTGACCAAGTTTTGACTTGTTAGTATATGATCTCAGATTGGAATTTTTATGATTTGGTTAGCTCCGTTAGGTGATTTGGGACTTAGGAGCGTTCGGAATGTAGTTTTGAAGTGTGACGACCCGGCCTGTCGTCTCATGAGTTACCGCTCTGTTTCCCCCATTTCTGCTTCTTATTGCTTTGTTCATCTGTGTTTTGAGGTTTCGGGTTGGTTGGATTGAATCCGAATTGGTTTTGGTGAGGTTTGAGACACTTAGTCTCTTTTAAGAAGGCTTAAGTTGGAAAAGTCAACCGGAAGTTGACTTATGTGTTAGAGGGCTCGGATGTGAGTTCCGATGGTTCGGTTAGCTTCGGGAGGTGATATATGACTTAGGAGTGCAATCGGAATGGGTTTTGGAGGCCCGGAGTAGATTTAGGCTTGAATTGGCGAAGTTGATATTTTGGCGATTTCCTGTTGGTAGGCGAGATTTAGATATAGGGGTCGGAATGGAATTCTGAGAGTTTCAGTAGCTTCGTTATGTGATTTGGGATGTGTGTGCAAAATTTCAGGTTATTCGAACGTGGTTTGGTTGGGTTTTTGATCAAAAGCGGAATTTGGAAGATTTTTAGAAACTTAGGCTTGAATCCAATATGTTTTGGTTGATTAGTGTTGTTTGAAGTGTTTTGATGATTGGAACAAGTTTGAATAAGGTATTTGGATACGTTGGAAATTTTGGTTGAGGTCCTGGGGGCCTCGGGGTGATTTCGGATGGTTAACGGGGAAATTGGATGTTTGTGGAAGCTGCAGACTTTCTGCTTCTGGTATTTCCGCACCTACGGAATTGGGACCGCAGGTGCGATGCCGGAGGTGCGAGGAAGGAAGCCGCATATGCGGAATTGGGGCTGGCGAGCAGTTTCCGCAGAAGCGGTCAAGATGGCCGCATCTGCGAAGCTGCATATGCGGTAGTTCTATCGCAGATGCGATTTTTGGACTTTAAGTGAAAAACCGTAGAAGCGGTAGTTTGGCCGCAAATGCGGTACCGCAGAAGCGGGGCCTTGGACCGTAGATGCGGAAAGGCCTGGGTAGAAACATATATGTTATTTCATTTCGCGAGTTAGGGTTATTTCACCATTTTTGACTTCGACCTTGGAGCTTTTTGGGCGATTCTGAAGAGAGAAATCAAGGGACTTCGTTAAGGTAAGGATTTTTGGACCAAAACCACATTTCTATGGTAGTAATTCATGAATGAAGGCTATAATTAAAAGGATTAAAGGGCTAAAAATGGAGGATTAGGGCTTGAGTTTAAGAGGCTTTAAATGAGAATTTGAGGGGTCATTTGGACTCCGATTTTGGTATTCTTGATATGTATGAACTCGTGGGGAGATAAGGAATCCGATTTCGAGAAGTGGGCCCAGAGCTCGGGTTTTTTTTAATTTCAGAATTTTGGTATTATTTAGATTGTTTACGCTTGGGCTTCGTCCCCTTAGCATACTTTACGTCCTCGTTGTGATTTTGGATAGATTCGACGCGAGTGGAGGCCGATTCGAGGGGCAAAGGTGTCGCGGAGTAGTATTTTCACCGGTTTGAGGTAAGTAATCATTGTAAATCTGGAACTGAGGGTACAAAACCCCGATATTTGACTTGTTTTGATAAAAATGGTGGCGCACATGCTAGGTGAGGAGCGTGTGGGCGTGCACCGGTAGGGATTGTGACTTGGTCCGTCTCGTATTGACTATTAAGCCGCGTAATTGATTGGGAAATCTTATATTATTCTGTATTTCAGTCATTATTACTGTATTATGGGCTGTATGCCATGCTTGGGGCCTTGTGCCGACCTGTAGAAACCCCTAGGGGCATTTTGACTGTGTTTCCTCACTTTACTTGCTAAAAATATATCCTCAGTCATGTTTTACCCATAAAACGTTTTCAAACTGGTTTTATCACTCTATTCCTAGTTGTGAGGACTGTTTGGGCTGAGTTCCGCAATTTCTATTGTGGTGCCCTAAAAGCTGTGAGGTTATGACTGAGAGAGGTTGAAAACCCTATTGTAAGGATAATTATATATATGTGAGTGATGGATCGGGCTGCACGCCGCAGCGATATTTATATGGATCGGGCTGCATGCCGCATCGATATTTATATTGGATCGGGCTGCACGTCGTAGCGATATGACGCTTGGGCTGTAGGAGCCCCTCAGGAGTCTGCACACCCCCAGTGAGCATAGTCGACTATAAATATATGGATCGGGCTGCACGCCGTAGCGGTCACTATGATTTCTATCATTATGAGA